AGCCTGGGCAACATGGCGAGACCCCATCTCTACAAGAAATACAAAAGTTAGCCAGGTGTGGTGGTGCGTGCCTGTAATCCCAGCTCCTGAGGAAGATGAGCTGATCACCTGAGCCTGGCAGGTGGAGGCTATACTGAGCCGTGATTGACCCACTGCACTCCAGCCCAAGTGACAGAGCAACACCCTGTCTCAAAAAAAGAAATTTTTTTTTAGGTGGAGTCTCGCTGTCTCTCCCAGGCTGGAGTGCAGTGGTGTGATCTTGGCTCACTGCAACCTCCACCTCCTGGGTTCAAGCGATTCTCCTGCCTCAGCCTCACGAGTAGCTGGGACTATAGGCATGCACCACTACACGTGGCTAATTTTTGTATTTTTAGTAGAGATGGGGTTTCGTCATGTTGGCGAGGCTGGTCTGTAACTCCTGACCTCAAGTGTTCCACATGCCTCGGCCTCCCAAAGTGCTAGGATTACAGGTGTGAGCCAGTTCATCTGGCAAAAGAAAGAAAATGTTTAAAAAGTCTCTTATGGTAAATCCCAGATGTCTTTCCTGTTTGGTGCCACCTGAACATTGGCAAACCTTTCCATTATGGATCAGGTCACCATCACATCTGCTAGAGCCCCTCGTCCATGGTGGGATGACTTGTTCCTATAAAGCCAAACTTACCAGAAGCTCAGTCCCTTGGATTTTTAAAATATGGGTGTCTCTTTTCCCCTGGTTTCTGATGACATTGCGTCCCGAGGTGCCAAGGGGGCCTTTCCTCAGACCAGAGGGCTTTTCTGGCCACCTGCTAAGTTCCAGACACGGGCCTGCTGTGCATGGCAGGCCCACGGTTCTAGGCCCAAGTACGCAATTGCCTTAGCCCCATATGCCGTTGTTATTGTCCACGCAGCTTGCTGCCAAAACCCAGGACTGAGCTGTCGAGGGAACAGCTGGAATGCACTTTGGAGGACGTTATTGACATGCCGCGCAGTCACCTCAGTCACCGCTAGTGCCCTGGTGTTTGTCTTGCAGACGGAGGCTCCCTGGTGAAGGCGCGCGTGCTGACCTGCGTGGAGGGGATGAACCTGCCCTTGTTGGAACAAGCCATCCGGGAGCAGAGGCTGTACCAGCAGGAGCGGGGCGGCGGCCAGTAGGAAACAGCAGCCCAGCAACACCCCCACCTGCTTCCAAGGCCAAACCCTCTGGAGCTGCGGGAGCCCCAGAGAGCGCAGACGCCTCCCCAGCGACGGCCTTGTCTGGAGCCGAAAGCAGAGGGGCGGATGGTGAATCCAGCCCCTTCCCCTACTTTGGGATTAGCTCATCAATGAGAGCCCAGAAAGCATGCCATAAATCCGACAGCCCCACCCGGGGAGACTGCAGGTGGCTGAGCTCGGGTGCCAGCCCGTGCTTGGTGTGGGGCCATGGAGGGTTCCAGAAGGTCCTAGTGAATAAAGGCCCAAGGGGCGTGCCCTCGATGTGTGCTCGTGGTGCAGCGCCGGCGGGGGCCAGGAGGGGGAGCTGCAACCAGGGCTGTGGGCTGCAGCCTCTCAGGGCTTCTGGTGAATTCTGGGCCT